CAGTGGGACCCCCCCCCAAACCATGGGACCCCCTCCATCCACCTGTGGGACCCCCAGAGAATCCCCTTTTATGGGACCCCCCCACCCATGGGTGCTTTGGGGACAGATTCTTGGAGTTTGGGTGCTCTGCAGTCCCCAAGGTGTTTTGGGGACAGATTTTGGGGTTTCTGAGGTTCCCAAGGTTTTGTGGGGACAGATGTTGGGGTTTCTGAGGTCCCCAAGCTCCTTTAGGGACAGATTTTGGGGTTTCTGGTTGCTCTGAGGTCCCCAAGGTGATATTGGGACAGATTTTGGCGTTTCTGAGGTCCCCAAGCCGGTTTGGGGACAGATTTTGGGGTTTCTTAGGTCCCCAAGCTGATTTAGGGACAGATTTTGGCGTTTCTGGGTTCTCTGAGGTCCCCAAGACTTTGTGAGGTTCCCAGGGCTCTGTGGGGACAGATTTTGGGGTTTCTGAGGTCCCCAAGCTCCTTTAGGGACAGATTTTGGGGTTTCTGAGGTCCCCAAGCCGGTTTGGGGACAGATTTTGGCATTTCTGAGGTCCCCAAGCTCCTTTAGGGACAGATTTTGGCGTTTCTGAGGTCCCCAGGGCTCTGTGGGGACAGATTTTGGGGTTTCTGAGGTCCCCAAGCTCCTTTAGGGACAGATTTTGGGGTTTCTGATGCCCCCAAGCACCTTTAGGGACAGATTTTGGCGTTTCTGAGGTCCCCAGGGCTCTGTGGGGACAGATTTTGGGGTTTCTGAGGTCCCCAAGCTGCTTTAGGGACAGATTTTAGGGTTTCTGATGCCCCCAAGCACCTTTAGGGACAGATTTTGGCGTTTCTGATGTCTCCAACCTTCTTTGGGGACAGATTTCGGGGTTTCTGAGGTCCCCAGGGCTCTGTGGGGACAGATTTTGGGGTTTCTGATGCCCCCAAGCCCCTTTAGGGACAGATTTTGGCGTTTCTGATGTCCCCAACCTTCTTTGGGGACAGATTTTGGCGTTTCTGAGGTCCCCAGGGCTCTGTGGGGACAGATTTTGAGGTTTCTGGTGCCCCCAAGCTGCTTTAGGGACAGATGTTGGGGTTTCTGAGGTCCCCAAGCTGCTTTAGGGACAGATTTCGGGGTTTCCGGGCGCTGTGCCCCCCCGGCGGCCGGTGCCAGCCCGGTGGTGTCCGCAGGGTGACCATGGTGACGCCGGCGGTGCTGCGGCTGGAGTCGGACGAGCAGGTGGTGCTGGAGGCGCCGGGGCTGAGCGCGGCCGCCGAGGCCTCGCTGCTGGTGCAGGACTTCCCGCAGAAGCGCCAGGTCCTGTTCCAGAGCCGCGTGGCGCTGAGCCCGGCCCAGGGCATGATGGCCACGGCCACCATCAAGGTAGGCTGGCAGCACCCTCCCCTGGGCGCTGTCACCGTCCCCTGGGCACTGTCACTGTCCTCTATCACTGTCACCACCCCTGGTCACCTTCCCCTGGGCACTGGCACCGTCCCCATGTCACTGTCACTGTCCTCTGTCACTGTCACCCCCTCTGGTCACCGTCCCCTGGTCACTGTCACCCTGCTCTGGTCACTGTCACCCCCCTCTGGTCACTGTCACCACCCCGCTCTGGTCACTGTCACCACCCCTCTCGTCACTGTCACCACCCTCTAGTCACTGTCACCCCCCTCTGGTCACTGTCACCACCCCGCTCTGGTCACTGTCACCACCCCTCTCGTCACTGTCACCACCCTCTAGTCACTGTCACCCCCCTCTGGTCACTGTCACCACCCCGCTCTGGTCACTGTCACCACCCCTCTCGTCACTGTCACCACCCTCTAGTCACTGTCACCCCCCTCTGGTCACTGTCACCACCCCGCTCTGGTCACTGTCACCACCCCACTCGTCACTGTCACCACCCTCTAGTCACTGTCACCCTCCTCTGGTCACTGTCACCTCCCCCTGGTCACTGTCACCACCCTGCTCTGGTCACTGTCACACCCCCGGTCACTGTCACCATCCCCTAGGCACTGTCACCCCACTCTGGGCACTGTCACCCTGCTCTGGTCACTGTCACCACCCTCCTCTGGTCACTGTCACCATCCCCTGGGCACTGTCACCTCCCCCTGGTCACTGTCATCACCCTTCACTGTCCCCTGTCCCCATGCATGTCCCCACTGTCCCCTGTCCCTGTGGATGTCCCCACTGTCCCTGTCCCCCAGGTGCCGGCCAAGGCGCTGCCGCAGGCGCAGGGGAAGCAGTTTGTGACGGTGACAGCGCGGGTGGCCGCGGTGACACTGGAGAAGGTGCTGCTGGTGTCCCCGCAGAGCGGCCACATCTTCGTGCAGACCGACAAGCCCATCTACACCCCGGGGAGCACCGGTGAGCACGCGGGGACACGGGGACACCTGGGGACAGCCGGGGACAAGCGGGGACACTGCGGGGACAGCTGGGAACACCACAGGGACAGCTGGGGACAACCGGGGACACCGTGGGGACACCGTGGGGACACCGCGGGGACACCTGGGGACAGCCGGGGACAAGCGGGGACACTGCGGGGACAGCTGGGAACACCACAGGGACAGCTGGGGACAACCGGGGACACCGTGGGGACAGCTGGGGACAACCGGGTACACTGTGGAGACACTGCAGGGACACCTCAGGGACACTGCAGGGACAGCTGGGGACAACCGGGGACACCGTGGGGACACCGCAGGGACACCTCAGGGACACCTGGGGACACCACAGGGACACTTCAGGGACACCTGGGGACAACCGGGGATACTGCGGGGACACCACAGGGACAGCTGGGGACACCACAGGGACACCGCAGGGACAGCTGGGGACATCCAGGGACACCGCGGGGACACCGCAGGGACAGCTGGGGACACTGCGGGGACACTGCAGGGACAGCTGGGGACAACTGGGGACACCATGGGGACTCCATGGGGAGGGCGACACTGTGGGGATATTGACACTGCAGGGACAGCTAGGGACACCACAGGGACACCACAGGGACAGCTGGGGACATCCAGGGACACCACGGGGACACTTCAGGGACAGCTGGGGACACCACAGGGACATTGCAGGGACACTGCAGGGACAGCTGGGGACAACTGGGGGCACCACAGGGACATGGCGAGGACACCACAGGGACAGCTGGGGACATCCAGGGACACCACGGGGACACTTCAGGGACAGCTGGGGACACCACAGGGACATTGCAGGGACACTGCAGGGACAGCTGGGGACAGCTGGGGACAGCACGGGGGTGGCAACACTGTGGGGACACCGAGGGGATGGGGACACTGTGGGGACATCACCGGTGTGGGGACACCTCAGAGGGGATGGGGACACTGCCAGGGCCACTGATGGATGAGTGGGGACACTGCAGGGACAGCTGGGGACAGCTGGGGACAGCACGGGGGTGGCAACACTGTGGGGACACCGAGGGGATGGGGACACTGTGGGGACATCACAGGCATGGGGACACCTCGGGGTGCTGGGACACCTTGAGGGTTGGGGACACCGTGGGGGGTTGGGGACACCTCAGGGTGCTGGTGGCACCTCCCTGTGACACCTCAGAGGGCTGGGGACACCTCGGCGTGCTGTGTCACCCTTCTGTGACACCTCAGGGCGATTGGAGTGCCAGTGTCACCCATTTGGGGACCTCCCCGTGATGTCCCCAGTGGGACGCAGTGTCCCTGCCCTGTCCCTGCTCACATTGTCCCCTTTGTCCCCTCACATTGTCCCCTGTGTCCCCTCCCAATGCTGGCTGTCCCCACGTGTCCCCTCTCACCTTGTCCCCTGTGTCCCCACCTTTTCCTTGTCCCCTCTCAATCCCCAGTGCCCCCATGCCTGTGATCACCTTGTCCCTTGTCCCCTCACATTGTCCCCTGTGTCCCCTCTCAGTGCTGGCTGTCCCCACGTGTCCCCTCACCTTGTCCCCTGTGTCACCTCTCACCTTGTCCTTTGTCCCCTCACCTTGTCCCCTGTGTACCTACCCTGTCCTTGTCCCCCCTCACCTTGTCCTCTATGTCCCCTCACCTTGTCCTTTGTCCCCTCACCTTGTCCCCTGTGTCACCCCTCACCTTGTCCTTTGTCCCCTCACCTTGTCCCGTGTCCCCTCTCACTTGTCCCATGTCACCTCTCATCTTGTCCCGTGTCTCCTCACCTTGTCCCCTGTGTCCCCTCACCTTGTCCCGTGTCCCCTCTCACTTGTCCCCTGTGTCCCCTCACCTTGTCCCTCACCTTGTCCCTTGTCCCCTCTCACTTTGTCCCCTGTGTCCCCTCACCTTGTCCCTCACCTTGTCCCATGTCCCATCGCCTTGTCCCTTGTCCCCTCTCACTTTGTCCCCTGTGTCCCCTCACCTTGTCCCTCACGTTGTCTCCTGTGTCCCCTCACCTTGTCCCTCACTTTGTCTCCTGTGTCCCCTCCCCTTGTCCCTCACCTTGTCCCCTGTGTCCCTTCTCACCTTGTCCCCCGTGTCCCCTCACCTTGTCCCTCACGTTGTCTCCTGTGTCCCCTCACCTTGTCCCTCACTTTGTCTCCTGTGTCCCCTCACCTTGTCCCTCACCTTGCCCCCTGTGTCCCCTCTCACCTTGTCCCCTGTGTCCCCTCCCAGTGCTCTGCCGCCTCTTCACCGTGGGCCACCTCATGCAGCCGGTAGCCAAGACGGTCATCGTGGAGGTCAAGGTGAGTGCCCTGGGGTGGCACAGGTGGCACAGGGGTGGCACAGGGTGACACGGGTGACACTGCGCGTGTCCCCTCAGACGCCCGACAACGTCATCATCAAACAAGTCCCGGTGTCGTCCCCGACCAAAAACGGGATCCTGACCATCAACCACAACCTGCCCGAGGTCGTCAGGTGGGTGTCGCCGTCCCCCGCGGTGGCTTGGGGACACCCCCGGCGCTGTCACCTCCCTGTCACCTCCCTGTCACCTCCCCCAGCTTGGGCATGTGGACGATTTCGGCCAAATTCGAGGATTCCCCGGATCAGGATTTCAGCGCCCAATTCGAGGTCAAGGAATACGGTGGGTGAGGGCTGGGGGTGGCCTTGGGGACATCAGGGACTGTCCCCAAGGGGTGGCGGTGTCACCATGTCACCGATGTCACCGGTGTCACCGTTGTCACCCCGCAGTGCTGCCGAGCTTTGAGGTGTCCGTGGATCCCGAGGAGAAGTTCCTGTACATCGACCGCCAGGCGGATTTCCGGGTGTCCATCCTGGCCAGGTGACCCCAAAATGTCCTTTGGGGTCACACCTGCGTGGGGGACGGGGGACAGCTGTGCTCGGCTGCTGTCCCTGGGGGTGGCACGTGGAGGGTGGAGGGGGACACGGGGTGACATGGGGACATTGGTGGTGGCAGGGATGGAATGACAGGGACAGGGGTGGCGGGATGGGGACATGGGGACAATGGGGTGACATTGGTGGTGGCAGGGATGGAATGACAGGGACAGAGGTGGCGGGATGGGGACATGGGGACAATGGGGTGACATTGGTGGTGGCAGGGATGGAATGACAGGGACAGGGGTGGCCGGATGGGGACATGGGGACAATAGGGTGACATTGGTGGTGGCAGGGATGGGATGGCAGGGACAGGGACAGGAAGGGGGCATGCGGGGACAGGGACAGTGGAGGAATCCAGCAGACACAGGGGACTGGTGGGGACAGGGGGGACATGGGGGGACAGACTGGGGACAGCAGTGGTGTGAGTCTGGGGACGTGCAGGGTTGGGGACAGCGATGATGGGGGGGACGTCTGGGGCCACCCGTCTGGGCAGGGGACAGGGAGCCCTGGCCACAGGTGACATGGCCACTGTGGTGTCCCCGCAGGCAGTGACATGGAGGGTGGCAGGGGGACATAGAGGGGACAGGGACAGTGAGTGTGGGAGACCCCAGGTGACACGGCCACCGTGGTGTCCCCACAGGCAGTGACATGACGGGTGGCAGGGGGACAGTGAGGATGGAGGGACACCTGGGGTGGCGACAGGGACCCAGGTGACACGGCCACCGCGGTGTCCCCGCAGGCAGTGACATGGTGGAGGCCCAGCGCGGTGGCATCCCGATCGTGACGTCGCCCTACAGCATCCACTTCACCCACACCCCCAAGTACTTCAAGCCGGGGATGCCCTTTGACCTCACGGTTGGTGACATCTTGGGGACAGCGGTGTCCCAGGGGGGTGGCACAGGACCCACGGGGTGGCCTGGGATGAGGACAGGGCACAGCTGGGGCTGGGGGTGGAGGAGAAGTTGGTCTCTGGGTGATGTCCCTGTGTCACCTGAGAGGGGCTGGGGACCGTGGGCTGTCCCTGTGTCACTGGGGTGGCGCTTCCTGGTGCCAGTGTCCCTTCCCAGTGCCACCACCCCTTCCTGGTGCCACCACCCCTTCCCAGTGTCCCTTCCCAGTGCCACCAACCCTTCCCAGTGCCACCACCCCTTCCTGGTGCCACCACCCCTTCCCAGTGTCCCCTCCCAGTTCCACCAACCCTTCCCAGTGTCCCCTCCCAGTGCCACCACCCCTTCCTGGTGCCACCACCCCTTCCCAGTGTCCCCTCTCAGTGCCACCAACCCTTCCCAGTGTCACCACCCCTTCCTGGTGCCACCACCCTTCCTGGTGCCACCCCCCCTTCCCAGTGTCATCATCCCTTCCCAGGGCCACCACCAATTCCCAGTGTCCTTTCCCAGTATCACCACCCCTTCCCAGGGCCACCACCCCTTCCCAGTGTCACCACCCCTTCCTGGTGCCACCACCCCTTCCCTGTGTCCCTTCCCGGTGCCACCACCCCTTCTCAATGTCCCTTCCCAGTGCCACCACCCCTTCCCAGTATCATTGTCCCTTCCCAGTGCTATGACCCTTTCCCAGTGCCACCACCCCTTCCCAGTGCCACCACCCCTTCCCAGTATCATTGTCCCTTCCCAGTGTCACCACCCCTTCCTGGTGCAACCACCCCTTCCCACGTAATGTCCCCACATCCCCCGGTGTCCCCTCCAGGTTTATGTCACCAACCCCGACCAGTCCCCGGCGCCACGTGTCACCGTCCAGGCCGATGGCTTCCAGGGCCAGGTGGCCACACAGCGCGATGGCACGGCCAGGCTGGTCCTCAACATGCCAGCCAACAAGGACAGCGTCCCCATCACCGTGAGTGTCACCAGGTGTCACCTCCAATGGGGTGGCCCAGGGGGTTGAGGTGGCTGAGATGGCCGGAGTGACCCCTGGGATGTCCAAGGGTCAGGACAGCAGGACTGGGGACCAGGATGGGCTGGACATCCATGGTGATCAAGGGTCATTGTGGTCACTCATCATTGGCCAAAAAACGAGGTCACACCGTGGTTGAGGTGACTGTGGTGGTCAAGGTGTCCAGAGTGACCAAGGACTGGGGGGTTGAGGTGGCTGAGATGGCCGGAGTGACCCGTGGTTGTGATGACCAAGGGTCAGGACTGCAGGACAGGGGGGCCAGGATGGGCTGGACATCCATGATGGTCAAGGGTTATCGTGGTCACTCATCATTGGCCAAAAGCCAGGATGGCCAAGGTCACCCCATGGTTGAGGTGACTGTGGTGGTCAAGATGTCCAGAGTGACCAAGGGCCGGGGGGTTGAGGTGGCTGAGATGTCCAGAGTGACCAAGGAACGGGGCTATCCTGGTCACCATTGGCCAAGGACAAGGACAACCTAGGTCAGGCTGACCATGGTGGTCAACTCAATTGGGTTGACCAAGACATGAGAGTGACCAAGGACCAGGTGTCAAAGAGGCCAGTGGAGGTGTCCACAGTGGTCAGTTGTCCATGGTGGCATGTGGCCAGGGTGACCAGTGACCAGGAACTGGGATGGTCAAAGCCAGGGAGACAAAAGTGGCCAAGACATTGAGGGTGGCCAAGGGACAAGGTCAGAGGGACCATGGTGGTTGAGTGGACAAGACATCCAAGGCAGCAGATGGTCATTTTGACCATGGAGATGGTCACCAAGAACCAGGGCACCAGGGAGACCATGACAGACAAGACCTCCATGGTGGCCAAGACTTCCATAGTGGCCAAGGCCTCCATGATGACCAACACACCTCTGTGGTGGCCAAGACCTCCATGATGGCCAAGGCCTCCATGATGACCAACACACCTCCACAATGGCCAAAACCTCTATGGTGGCCAAGACCTCCATGGTGGCCAAGACCTCTATGGTAGCCAAGGCATCCATAGTGGCCAAAATCTCCATGATAACCAACACACCTCCACAATGGCCAAGACCTCTATGGTGGCCAAGAGCTCCATGATGGCCAAAACCTCCATGGTGGTCAAGACCTCTGTGGTCGCCAAGACCTCTGTGGAACCTCTATAGTGGCCAAGACCTTTGCGATGGCCAAGACCTCTATGGTGGCCAAGACCTCCGTGATAGCCAAGCCCTCCATGATGGCCAAGACCTCTATGGAACCTCTACGGTGGCCAAGCGCTCCACGCTGACCCCACCCAGGCCCACGTCCCTCCCCACTGACCGAGTGTCACCGTGTCACCTGTCCCAGGTGCGGACGGCCCAGGCAGGGCTGCCACCAGAGCGCCAGGCCTCGCGGCAGATGACGGCCCAGGCCTATCGCAGCCAGGCCGGCTCGGGCAACTTCCTGCACCTGGCGGTGGCCGCCACCGAGCTGCAGCCCGGGGACAACCTGGCCGTGAACTTCCACCTCAAGACCAGCAACAACGACGTCCGCAACTCCGTCCCGTTCTTCACCTACCTGGTGGGTACCCGTGGTTGACCCGTGGTCCTCCAGCTTGACCACCTGTACATCCAGGAGGCCACCAAGCTTGGGTTTCTGGCAGATCATGACCAAGGGACGCATCCTCCGAGCCGGCCGGCAGCGGCACGAGGCCGGCCAGAGCTTGGTGACCATGACCCTGCCGGTGACGCCGGAGCTCATCCCGTCCTTCCGCATCGTGGCCTACTACTACGTCCTGCCCGGCGAGATCGTGGCTGACTCCGTCTGGGTGGACGTCAAGGACACCTGCATGGGCACTGTGAGTGTCCCCCGGTGTTCCCAGGGGGGTCAAAGGGATCTTGGAGACATTGGACGTGCCTTGGTGGTGGCTGGAGTGGTCTTTGAGGCGGCCTTTGAGGGGTCTAGGAGGCCTTGGAGGTGTTTGGGGCACCTTTGAGGGACCTTGGAGGTCCTTGAGGGGCTTGGGTGGCTTTGAGGGACCTGGGAGGTCCTTGAGGGGTTTAGGTGGCATTGAGTGGGCTTTTGAGGGGCTTGGGGCACCCTTGAGGGGTTTGGGAGGTCCATGAGGGGCTTGGGGGGCCCTTGAGGGACCTTGGGGCTTTTGAGAGGCTTGGGGCACCCTTGAGGGGTTTGGCAGGTCCATGAGGGACCTGGAGGACGTTTGGATGAGCCTGGGGGGCCCTTGAGGGACTTGGGGGGCACCTGAAGGGCTTGGGAGGGACATTGAAGGACCTGAAGGTCCTTGAGGGATCTGGGGAACCTTTAGAGGGGTTTGGGGGACCTTGAGATCCTTGGGGACCTTTGGAAGGGCTTGAGGGGACATTGAGGGACCTGAGTGGCCCCTGGTGGGGATTTGGTGTCACTTGTGTGGTTTTGGACACTCCATGAGGAGCTTGGACATCTCCTGGGTGACCCAGGTGGCTCTGGTGGCCCTGGTGACCCAGTGATGGCCCAGACATGAAGCCCATGTCCACCAACTGCCCCTGGAGGTCCAAATTTGGTGTCTCCCTTGGTGGGGGGGGGGACAAACATGGCTTTTGGGGACATCCTGGTGACGTCACCTCCTGTGTCTGTGGCAGCTGGTGGTGAAGGGGGCGACGGAAGGTGACAACCGTGTGCACGAGCCGGGGACACCCATGAGGCTGCGCATCGAGGGCGACCACAAGGCCCACGTGGGGCTGGTGGCCGTGGACAAGGGGGTCTTTGTCCTCAGGAAGAACAAACTCACCCAGACCAGGGTGGGTGGCCCTGTCCTCGATGTCCCCAAAGGATGGTCATGGCCATCTCCAGCATCCTTGGGTGGTGGCCATCACAGTTGTCCCTGTCCCCATCATCCCCTGGTGGTGGCCATCAAGGCTGTCCCTGTCCCTGCTGTCCCCTGGTGGTGACCATCATGCTTGTCCCTGCTGTCCCCTGGTGATGGCCATCACAACTGTCCCCATCATCCCTGGGTGGTGACAGTGGCCGTCACAGCTGTCCTGGTGTTCCTGGGTGGTGACAGTGGCCATCACAGCTGTCCCCATCATCCCTGGGTGGTGGCAGTGGCTGTCATGGCTGTCCCTGTCCCCATTGTCCTTGGAAGGTGGCAGTGGCTTTCACAGCTGTCCCCATCATCCATGGATGGTGGCGGTGGCTGTCACAGCTGTCCCCATCGTCCCCGGGTGGTGGCAGTGGCCGTCACAGCGGTCCCCATTGTCCATGGATGGTGGTGGTGGCCATCACAGCTGTCCCCATTGTCCATGGATGGTGGCAGTGGCCATCACAGCTGTCCCCATCATCCCCGGGTGGTGGCGGTGGCCATCACAGCTGTCCCCACCATCCCCGGGTGGTGGCGGTGGCCATCACAGCTGTCCCCATCATCCATGGATGGTGGCAGTGGCCGTCATGGCTGTCCTGCTGTCCCTGGGTGGTGGCAGTGGCCATCACAGCTGTCCCCATTGTCCCTGGATGGTGGCAGTGGCTTTCACAGCTGTCCCCATCGTCCATGGATGGTGGCAGTGGCTGTCACAGCTGTCCCCATCGTCCATGGACGGTGGCAGTGGCCATCACAGCTGTCCCCATCGTCCATGGATGGTGGCAGTGGCTGTCACAGCTGTCCCCATCGTCCATGGACGGTGGCAGTGGCCATCACAGCTGTCCCCTGTGGGCGCAGGTTTGGGACACGGTGGAGAAAAGTGACATCGGCTGCACGCCGGGCAGCGGCAGGGACAACATCGGGGTCTTCGCGGACGCTGGCCTGAGCCTGACCACCAGCGTCAAGGTCACCACGCCCCAGCGGTCAGGTGGGACAGCTGGGGTGGCACCTCGGGGACAGGGGGTGGCACCTCAGGGAGGTGGCATCTCACAGAGGTGGCACCTTGGGGTGGCACCACAGGAGATGGTGGAGGAGGTGGCACCTCGGGGTTGGGGGAGGTGACATCTCGGGGATGGTGGAGGTGACATTTCAAGCATGTGGCACCTCAGGGATGGGGGAGGTGACACCTTGGGGATGGGAGAGGTGACATCTCAGAGATGGTGGACGTGGCACTTGAAGCTTGTGGCACCTCAGGGACCAAGGATGTGACACTTCAAGAATGGGAGCGGTGACATTTAGGGAGATGGGGATGGTGACACCTCAGGGGTGTGACACCTCAGGGATGGGGAGGTGACACCTCAGGGGTGTGACATTTCAGGGATGGGGAGGTGACACCTCAGGGGTGGGACATTTCAGGGTTGGGGGAGGTGACACCTCAGGGGTGTGACATTTCAGGGTTGGGGGAGGTGACACCTCAGGGATGGGGGAGGTGACCCTGAACTTTGACATGTGACACGTGGGACACTTCGGGGTCCTGACCAATGTCCCCTCTGTCCCCAGAGGTCCAGTGTCCCCAGCCTGCCAAACGCAAGCGCCGCTCGCTGGCACTCGCCGAGTACAAGGGCACCAAGGGTAGGTGGCACTGGGATGTCCCTTGTCCCCAGGGGTCACCAGGGTGTCCCTTGTCCCCTGGGGTCACCAGGGTGTCCCTTGTCCTCGAGGTTACCTGGGTGTCCCTTGTCCTCGAGGTCACCTGGGTGTTCCTTGTCCCTGAGGCTGCTAAATTGTCCCAGGACCCTGAGGGACACCAGTGTCACATGTCCTGCAGCATCTGCTGTCCCAAAGGCCACCAGAGTGTCCCACACCTCCAAGGTCCCCATGTCCCAAAAAGCCACCAGAGTTTCCCACATCCCAGAGGGCCACCAGAGTGTCCCACACCCCCAAAAGTCCCATTCCTAAAAGCCACCAGAATGTCCCACATCCCTGAGGTCCCCATTACCAAGAGCCACCAGGATGTCCCACACCACCAATGTCCCCCCATTCCTGAGAGCCACCAGGATGTCCCACACCCTTGAGGTCCCCATGTCCCAAAGAGCCACCAGGATGTCCCACAGCCCCAATGTCCCCATTCCTGAGAGCCACCAGAGTGTCCCACACCCCCGAGGTCCCCATGTCCCAAAGAGCCACCAGGATGTCCCACAACCCCGAGGTCCCCATTACCAAGAGCCACCAGGATGTCCCACACCACCAATGTCCCCCCATTCCTGAGAGCCACCAGAATGTCCCACACCCCCAATGTCCCCATTCCCGAGGGCCACCAGGATGTCCCACACCCCTGAGGTCCCCATGTCCCAGAGAGCCACCAGAATGTCCCACACCCCCAATGTCCCCATTACCAAGAGCCACCAGAATGTCCCATACCACCAATGTCCCCATTACCAAGTGCCACCAGAATGTCCCACACCCCCGAGGTCCCCATGTCCCAAAGAGCCACCAGGGCTTGTCCCAGCCCTGTCCTGGTGTCCACCAGCGGCCGAGTACTCGGACAAGCTGGAGAGGAAGTGCTGCGAGGACGGGATGAAGGACAACCCGATGGGACACAGCTGCGAGCAGAGGACCGAGTACATCCAGGAGGGCGAGTCCTGCGTCCGCGCCTTCCTCGACTGCTGCAGATACATCAAGGCCAAGCGGGACCAGCAGAACCTCTCACCCAGCACCGGGCTGGCCAGAAGCAAGTGTTGAGTCATGGAGGGTGGGAGAAGGTCGGGGGAGGTTGGAGGAACCTCGGGTGGAGCTTTGGTGGAGTGTCTTAGGTGGGGTTTGGGTGTTCCTTGGTGGAACTCAGGTGAAGGTGAGCTTGAGCAAAGTTTGGGTGAAGGTTGGATGTTCCTTGGGTGTTCCTTGGTGAAGTTCAGGCAAACTTTGGGTGTTCCTTGGGCATTCCTTGGGCGTTCCTTGAGTATTCCTTGGACTTTCCCTGGTGGAAGGTCAGGTGAACCTCAGGCATTCCTTGGGTGCTTCTCAGGTGGAGCTTGGGTGAAGGTTGGGAGGGTCTTGGGTGGGTTTTGGGTGTTCCTTGGTGGACCTCAGGTGAGGGTGAGCTTGAGCAAAGTTTGGGTGAAGGTTGGATGTTCCTTGGGTGTTCCTTGGTGTAGATCAGGTGAACCTTGGGTATTCTTTGGGTGTTCTTTGGGTGTTCCTTGGGAGTTCCTTGGATGTTCCTTGGACTTTCCTTGGAGGAAGGTCAGGTGTTCCTTGGGTATTCCTTGGGGGAAGGTCAGGTGAACCCTGGGTGTTCCTTGGGTGTTCCTTGAATGTTCTTTGGGTGTTCCTTGAATGTTCTTTGGGTGTTCCTTGGGTATTCCTTGGACTAAGGTCAGGTGAACCTTGGGTATTTCTTGGGTATTCCTTGAGTGTTCCTTGGACTTTCCTTGGTGGAAGGTCACGTGAACCTCAGGTATTCCTTGGGTTCTCCTCAGGTGGAGCTTGGGTGAAGGTTGGGAGGGTCTTGGGTGGGTTTGGGGCATTCCTTGCGTGAAGCTCAAGTGGCCCTTGGGCATTCCTTACGCAATCCTTGGACAACTCATCGGGCAACACTTGGGTGGCAGTTGGGTGACCTTGGGCAAGACAAGGGGTGGCACTGGGGTGACACTGGGTGGCACTGGGGTGACACTGGGTGGCGCTGGGGTGACACTGGGTGGTGTTGGGGTGACACTGGGTGGCGCTGGTGTGATACCGGCTCCGCTCAGGGGTCTCAGCCCTGAGGCCACGTTCGAGAGGGCCAATGCCACCACCCCCAGGCCATGAGGACGACGATCCGTTCTTGGAGGACTCGGACATCGTCTCACGGAGCCTCTTCCCCGAGAGTTGGCTGTGGCAGGTGGAGCAGCTGACGGAGCCACCCAACGAGCTGGGGTGAGCCTGGACCTCCTGTCCCACCACCCACCCACCCCATGGCCCAGCCTGGGCATGGTCACCCTGTCCCCATCCAGCTTGGACATCTCTGGAGATCAGTTATGGTCACCCCAAATCCAGACAGAGGTCACTGCTAATCTCCTGGTCCACTCAGGAGTTCTTGGTCCACTCAGGGGTCATCTCCAAGCTCCTGGTCCTGCTTGGGGGTGTCTGTGGGGACATCTTTGGGGACAAAGAAAGTCCCACTGTGGGTTTGGGATATCTTTGGGGACCAGGGAAGTCCCATGGTGACATTCCCTGAGCCTGGCCTGGGGTGGGCCATGACCCCCTTGGTCACTCCTGTCCTCTCCAGGGTCTCGGCCAAGACGCTGCCCGTGTACCTGAAGGACTCCATCACCACCTGGGAGGTCCTGGCGGTCAGCCTCTCCCCCTCCAAAGGTACGGGGTCATGGAGGACAAGGGGGTTCCTGGGGTCAACAGAATGTCCCCAAACCTTGTGGGGGGTCCCTGAGACCTGAAGGGTCTCCTAAAGCCTGGAGGGGTTCACTGGGATTTGAGGGATCTCCAAAATCTGAGGGGGAGATGCCCCAAAGCTTGGTGGCCATCCTTGAGATTTGAGGGATCTCCGTGGAACTTGAGGGATCTTCTAAACTTTGGGATTCAAGGGGTCTTCTAAACCTTGGGAGGACTCTGTGGGTCTTGATGGATCTCCTAAACCTTGTGAGGACTCTGTGGGTCTTGATGGATCTCCTAAACCTTGGGAGGACTCTGTGGGTCTTGATGGATCTCCTAAACTTTGGGAAGAACATGGGTTTTGATGGATCTCCTAAACCTTGTGAGGACTCCCTGGACTTCCAGGGACCTCTGAAGACCTCGGGGTTCCTTGGTGACATGAGGTGTCCCCCAACCCAACCCCCTGCGTGTCCCCCACCCCAGGGCTGTGCGTGGCCGACCCCTACGAGATCACGGTGATGAAGGAGTTCTTCATCGACCTCCGCCTGCCCTACTCGGTGGTGAGGAACGAGCAGGTGGAGATCCGCGCCATCCTCTACAACTACTGGTTGCACGACATCACGGTCAGTTTGGGGACATTTTTTGGGGATGCCAAATGTCACCCTCTCTCCGGACCTCAGGTGTGACCTCCCTGTCACTGTCCAGGTGCGCGTGGAGCTGGTCTACAACCCCGACCTGTGCAGCCCCTCCACGGCCAAGCGGCGCTTCCAGCAGGTCCTGAGGATGAAGGCCGAGTCCTCGCGCACCGTGTCCTTCGTCATCGTCCCCCTCAAGCTCGGCCTGCTGGACATCGAGGTCAAGGCGGCCGTCCGCAACCAGTACGTGGGCGACGGGGTCAAGAAGAAGCTCCGAGTTGTGGTGAGTGGCCACTGGTGGCCGTGGTGGTGGTGAGATGTCCCCAGCGTGGTGGCATCCGTGTGTTGTTCTTTGGTGGTTGGGTGGCCACCGCGGGTGGCCCAGGGCCACCACAGCAGAGGGTGGTGGTGGGTGGTGGCACGGCCAGTGACACGTGCTGGCCACAAGGGGGCAGTGTGTGGCCAGGTTGGTTTGGTAGCGTTATTGATTTGGTATTTTTAATCAATACTTTCATTGATGATCTTGATGGGGTCACCAAGGTCAGGATGACCATGGGACTTGATGCCCTTATTGATTTGATATTTTTAATCAATACTTTCATTGATGATCTTGATGGGGTCACCAAGGTCAGGATGACCATGGGACTTGATGCCCTTATTGATTTGATATTTTTAATCAATACTTTCATTGATGATCTTGATGGGGTCACCAAGGTCAGGATGACCATGGGACTTGATGCCCTTATTGATTTGACAGTTTTAATCAATACTTTCATTGATGATCTTGATGGGATCAGGCTAACCATGTGATCTGATACCCATATTGATTTGATATTTTTAATCAATATCTTCATTGATGACTGGATGGGATCAGGCTGACTATGGGACTTGATACCCTTATTGATTTGGTATTTTTAATCAATATCTGCATTGATGATCTGGATGGGGTCACCAAGGTCAGGCTGACCATGGGACTTGATATTCTTATTGATTTGATATTTTTAATCATTATCTTCATTGATTATCAGGAGAGATCAGGCTGATCATGGGACTCGATGCCCTTATTGATTTGGTATTTTCAATCAATATCCTCACTGATGATCTGGATGGGGTCACCAAGGCCAGGCTGGTGGCCACACAATGAAGTTGACCGAGACACAAGAGTGACCTCAGGGTCTCCAGGACCTCAGTGACATGTATGACCCAGTGTGGCCTCCTGGGGCTGTCCCCATGTGTCACTGGGGGTACTGGTTTATACTGGGAGGCCTCTCCCAGTGGTCCAGAGGGGTTGGGAAGGGGAGGACCCCAGACCCAACCCCACCTTCAGCGCTGGACTCTGCCCTGGACAGCCCGAGGGGATGCGGCTGGAGAAGACGGTGAAGATCGTCGAGCTGGACCCGCAGAACAAGGGAGTCAGTGAGTGACATCTCTGGGGACCAGGGAGCTCCTACGGTGGCTTTGGGACATCTTTGGGGACCAGGGAGCTCCCACGGTGGCTTTGGGACATCTTTGGGGACCAGAGAGGTCCCATGGTGGCTTTGGGACATCCCTGGAGATCAGAAATATCCCACGGTGGCTTTGGGACATCTGTGGGGACCAGAGAGGTCCCATGGTGGCTTTGGGACATCCCTGGAGATCAGAAATATCCCACGGTGGCTTTGGGACATCTGTGGGGACCAGAGAGGTCCCATGGTGGCTTTGGGACATCTCTGGAGATCAGACATATCCCATGGTGGCTTTGGGTACATCTTTGAGGATCAAGGAGGTCCTACTGTGGATTTGGGACATCTCTGAGGAGCAGGTAGCTCCCACGGTGGCTTTAGGACATCTCTGGGGACCAGAGAGGTCCCATGGTGGCTTTGGGACATCTCTGGAGATCAGACATATCCCATGGTGGCTTTGGGTACATCTTTGGGGATCAAGGAGGTCCTACTGTGGATTTGGGACATCTCTGGGGACCAGGGAGCTCCCGCGGTGGCTTTGGGACATCTTTGGGGACCAGGGAGGTCCCACGGTGGCTTTGGGACATCTCTGGAGATCAGATATATCCCATGGTGGCTTTGGGTACATCTTTGGGGATCAAGGAGATCCTACTGTGGATTTGGGACATCTCTGAGGAGCAGGTAGCTCCCACGGTGGCTTTGGGACATCTTTGGGGACCAGGGAGGTCCCACGGTGGCTTTGGGACATCTCTGGAGATCAGATATATCCCATGGTGGCTTTGGGTACATCTTTGGGGATCAAGGAGATCCTACTGTGGATTTGGGACATCTCTGAGGAGCAGGTAGCTCCCACGGTGGCTTTGGGACATCTTTGGGGAATGGGGAGGTTCAGCTTTGGGTTTGGGACGTCTTTGGGAACCAGAGAGATCCCACAGTGGGTCTAGGACATCTTTGGGGATCAAGAAGGCACCTCCAAGATCAGGTTTGGGACAACTTTGAGGACAAGGGACATCCCACCACAGAACTGGGGCATCCCAAGGGACAAGGGCCATCCCGGTGTGGTCTGGAGGGACAAGGGACACCCTGATGTGGGGTGGGGCTGGGTCACCTCAGGGGGGTGGGACACGGGGAGCATTTGGGGTCACCCACGTCCACCCCACCCCACAGACGGGGTGCAGGAGGAGCGGGTGAAGGCCGCCGACTTGTCGGACATCGTCCCCAACACCGAGTCGGAGACCAAAGTCAGCATCCAGGGTGAGCACCAAGGAGAGGACACCTGGGGACAACCTGGAGGGAGGGGACAGGTGGGACATCTTGAGCGTGACACGTCCTCTCCGGGCCCAGGCAACCCCGTGTCCATCATCGTGGAGAAGTCCATCGATGGGGCCAAGCTGAAGCACCTGATCGTGACGCCGTCGGGTTGTGGGGAGCAGAACATGATCGCCATGACCCCGACGGTCATCGCCGTCCACTACCTGGACAGCACCGAGCAGTGGGAGAACTTCGGCATCGACCGCCGGGCGGGGGCCATCGAGCTGATCAAGAAAGGTGGGAACGGCCCCAAAAGTGGTGGGAGCATCCTCAAAATGGTGGGAATGGCACCGAAAGTGGTGGGGACAGGCACAAGTGGTGGGAACGGCACCAAATGTGGTGGGAATGTCATCAAAATGGTGGGAATGGCAATAAAAGTGGTGGGAATGTCCTCAAAATGGTGGGAACAGCCCCGAAAGTGGTGGGAATGACCCTAAAAAGGGTGGCAATGTCCCCAAACTGGGAGGAATGTCCTCAAAGTGGTGGGAATGGCCCCAAAAGTGGTGGGGACGGGCACAAATGGTGGGAACGGCACCAAATATGGTGGGAATGTCATCAAAATGGTGGGAATGGCAATAAAAGTGGTGGGAATGTCTTCAAAATGGTGGGAATGGCCCTAAAAAGGGTGGCAGTGTCCCCAAATTGGGAGGAATGTCCTCAAAGTGGTAGGAATGTCCTCAAAATGGTGGGAATGGCCCCAAAATGGTGGGAACAGCAACAAAAATGGTAGGAATGTCCTCAAAATGGTGGGACTGTCCCTCAGTGTCCTGTCTTGGGTCACAAAAGGTCCCTATCATCCGAGGTGGTGCAGAAGGTCGCTCCTCTGGAGGTGACCTGGGTTGGGTGACGTCAGTTTGGGGTTTCCAGAGGTACTGGTTTGCACTGGGAGGGGCTCCAGAGGGTGTTGGTAGCCTGATAGCCTGAGGTCACCACTGGACACTCCTTGTATTGACCAAAGGTTGGAGGACATTGGTGGCCTGAAGCCACCACTAGCCAACCCTCATGTTGACCAACAGCTGGAGGATATTGGTGGCCTGAGGCCGCCCCAGGTCAAGGCCACCTCTGGACACTCCTTGCATTGTCCAATGTCTGGAGGATGTTGGTGGCCCAAAGCCACCCCTGACCACTCCTCATGTTGGCCAATGACTGAAAGATATTGGTGGCTTGGGGCCATCACCTCGTGTTGACCAATGGTTGGAGGACATTGGTGGCCTGAAGCCCACCCAGGCCACCCCTTGCCTTGATCAACAGTTGGAGGACATTGGTGGCCTGAGGCCACCACCAGCCACCCCACATGGTGACCAACAGCTGGACGATACTGGTGGCCTGAAACCCATCCAAGCCACCCCTTGCGTTGACCAACAGCTGGAGAATTTTGGTGGCCTGAGGCCACCCCTCATGTTGACTAACAGCTGGAGAACATTGGTGGCCTGAAGCCCACCCAGGCCACCCCACGTGTTGACCAACGGCCATCTCCTCACAGGCTACACCCAACAGTTGGCCTTCCGCAAGCCCGACAGCTCCTATGCCGCCTTCATCAACCGCCCCTCCAGCACCTGGTGAGGGACCTGCTGCCACCACCACCACCACCCAGACCAGGTGACAGGGGCGGATGTGACACTCAGGTGTCCCCATCCCCAGGCTGACCGCCTACGTGGTCAAGGTGTTCGCCATGGCCAGGAAGCTGACGGACATCGAGCACGGCGAGATCTGCGGCCCCCTCAAGTGGCTCATCCTCAACAAGCAGAAGCCAGACGGGGTCTTCCAGGAGGACGCGCCTGTCATCCATAAGGAGATGGTGGTAGGGGGACACCTCAACCCTGTCACTGCTGGTGGCCAAAGCTTGGGGGACCAAGAGTGGAGGGTGGGAGTTTTTGTGTGGGTTTTGGGTGAAAGTCTGGTGAACTTTGGGTGTTCCTTGGGCGTTTCTCGGGTGAAGGTCAGGTGAACCTCAGGAATTCTTTGAGTGTCCCTTGGCTGAAAGTCAGGTGTTCCTTGGGCATTCCTTGTGTAAAGGTCAGGTGAACCTCAGGAATTCTTTGAGTGGTCCTTGGTTGAAGTTTGGGTGGGTTTTGGGTGTTCCTTGGCTGAAGGTCAGGTGTTCCTTGGGCGTTCCTTGGGCATTCCTTGGGCGTTCCTTAGGTGAAGGTCAGGTGAACCTCAGAAATTTCCTTCGGCATTCCTTGGGTGAAGGTCAGGCGAAGAGCAAACATTCATTGGGTGTTCCTTGGGTGTCCTTTGGGTGTTTTTTGGGTGTCCCTTGGGCAAAGTTGGGGTGTCCATTGGGTGTCCATTTGGTGTCCCTTTGGTGTTCTTTGAGTGTCCCTTGAGTGTCCCTTGGATGTTCCTCATGTGAAGGTCAGATGAAGGTCAAATATTCTTTGGATGTCCCTTGGGTGACATTTGGGTGTCCCTTGGGTGTCCCTTGAGTGTTCCTCACCTGAAGGTCAGATATTCTTCGGATGGTCAGAAGTTTGAGTGTCCCTTGGTTGTCCCTTGAGTGTTCCTCACATGAAGGTCATGTGAGGGCCAGATATTCTTTGGATGTCCCTTGGGTGAAGTTTGGGTGTCCCTTGGGTGTCCCTTGATTGTCCCTTGAGTGTTCCACACCTGAAGGTCAGGTGAAGGTCAGATATTCTTTGGATGTCCCTTGGGTGACATTCGAGTGTCCCTTGGCTGTCCCTTGGGTGTTTTTTGGGTGTCCCTTTGGCAAATTTAGGGTGTCCTTTGGGTGTCCCTTGGATGTACCTTGGGTGAAGTTTGGGTGCCCCTTGATTGTCCCTTGAGTGTTCCTTGGGTGTCCCTTGAGTGTTCCTCACCTGAAGGTCAGATGAAGGTCAAATGTTCTTTGGATGTCCCTTGGATGACTTTTGGGTGCCCCTTGGGTGTCCCTTGGGTGTCCCTTGATTGTCCCTTGAGTGTCCCTCACCTGAAGGTCAGGTGAAGGTCAGATATTCTTTGGATGTCCCTTGGGTGACATTCGAGTGTCCCTTGGCTGTCCCTTGGGTGTCCCTCAGACCAGTCAAGGACAGATCTTTGGAATGAGCTGCTGGTGGACCACTGAGCTCTTTGAAAACCCCAATCCCGAGGTTTTTTCCCTCTTTTTTGTCCCACAGGGAGGCTACCAAGGCGCCGAGCCCGAGGTGTCCCTCACCGCCTTCGTCCTCATCGCCCTGGAGGAGGCACGGGACACCTGCAAGGACCACGTCAACGTGAGTGACCCCTCGTGGGGACAGGGACATTCCTGAGGTGCCAGACCATCATGGAAGCCACCTGAGATCCCAAATTTTCCATCCTTGCTTCCCAGAACTTGGACGAGAGCATCAACAAAGCCGCCGGATTCCTGGCCCGGCGCTACGAGCAGCTGGCCCGGCCCTACACGGTGGCCCTGGCGTCCTACGCGCTGGCCCTGGCCGGGAAGCTCAAGACTGAGAGGATCCTCATGAGGTTCTCTAAAGGTGACATCTCAACAGGGGTCAAAATTGGGGTGAAAAGTGGTGGGTTTGGGTCTTTATGAGGTTCTCCAAAGGTGATGTCTCAAGAGGGGTCAAAACTGGGGTGAAAGGAGGTGGGTTTGGGTCTTCATGAGGTTCTCCAAAGGTGACATCTCCCCTTGGTGTGGAAAGGGTTGGAATTGGGGTTAGGGGAGGTGGTTTTGGGTTCTCATGAAGTTCTCCAAAGCTGGTTTTGGGTTCTCCTGAGGTTCTTCAGAACTGAATCCTCACCCAGGGTTGGAATTTGGGGTCAGGGAAGGTGGTTTTGGGTCCTCCTGAGGTTCTCAAAGATGACACCTCACGTTGGGGTTGAAAAGGTTGAAACTGGGATGAGGGAAGGTGGTTTTGGGTCCTCTGGAGGTTCTCCAGAAGTGGTTTTGGATCCTCCTGAGATAACGCCTCACCCGGGGCTGTAATCTGGGTCCGGGCTGAGGTGGCCATGGGGCTCCCTGGTGGCTGAAGGTGTCCCCGATGTCCCCACAGGTGGGGCCAGCTGGGAGGAGCACAACGCCCGCACCTACAACATCGAGGGCACGTCCTACGCGCTGCTGGCGCTGGTGCAGATGAAGAAGTCCGAGCTGGCCGGGCCGGTGGTCCGGTGGCTCGCCCAGCAGAACTACTACGGAGGGGGCTACGGCTCCACCCAGGTGGGACACGGGACACCCCGGCCGCCCGCGGGGACATCTCGGGGGCACCTGGTGGCTCTGGGGGTGACAGGGATGGGCGTTGTCTTTTTGGGGACGTCTTTGGTGGCACAGGAGCCAAAGGCCACTCAGAAGACTTTTGAGGTGCTCCAGCTGATGTCCCCTAGCCCTGGTGACACCAGTGTCCCCTGAGGCCACCCAGGAGCCCTTGTGGGTTCTCCATCAGTGTCCCCAAGCCCTGGTGACCCCAGTGTCCCCTCACGCCACCATCCTGGTGTTCCAAGCGCCGGCCCAGTACCAGGTGGACACACAGCTGGTGTCCCCAAACCCTGGTGACCCCAGTGTCCCCTCAGGCCACCATCCTGGTGTTCCAAGTGCTGGCCTAGTACCAGGTGGACACACAGCTGCAGGAGCCAAAGGCCACTCAGAAGACTTTTGAGGTGCTCCAGCTGATGTCCCCTAGCCCTGGTGACACCAGTGTCCCCTGAGGCCACCCAGGAGCCCTTGTGGGTTCTCCATCAGTGTCCCCAAGCCCTGGTGACCCCAGTGTCCCCTCACGCCACCATCCTGGTGTTCCAAGCGCTGGCCCAGTACCAGGTGGACACACAGCTGGTGTCCCCAAACCCTGGTGACCTCAGTGTCCCCTCACGCCACCATCATGGTGTTCCAAGCGCTGGCCCAGTACCAGGTGGACACACAGTTGGTGTCCCCAAGTCCTGGTGACACCGATGTCCCCTCAGACCACCATCCTGGTGTTCCAAGCACTGGCCTAGTACCAGGTGGACACACAGCTGGTGTCCCCAAGCCCTGGTGACCTCAGTGTCCCCTCACGCCACCATCCTGGTGTTCCAAGCGCTGGCCTAGTACCAGATGGACACACAGTTGACGTCCCCAAACCCTGGTGACCCTGATGTCCCCTGGTGACCCCGATGTCCCCTCAGGCCACCATCCTGATGTTCCAAGCGCTGGCCTAGTACCAGGTGGACACACAGCTGATGTCCCCAAGCCCTGGTGACCCTGATGTCCCCTGGTGACCCCGATGTCCCCTCAGGCCACCATCCTGGTGTTCCAAGCGCTGGCCCAGTACCAGGTGGCCACGGAGGCCCAGCAGCAGCTGGAGCTGGACGTGTCGGTGCTGCTGCCGCGCCGCGCCAGCCCCATCAAGTACCGCATCAAGAACAGCAACGCGCTGGTGGCACGCTCCGCCGAGGTACCTGCCCCTGTTCCTGGCACCTGACACTGTCACCTGGCACTGTCACCTGGCATCTGGCACTGTCACCTGGCACCTGGCACTGTCACCTCTGGGTCTCCTCGTTGGATAATCCCATCCCATCACCATGGCCACCGTTGTTCCTTACATGTCCTGTCCCCTCTGTGTCCTCTCGAGGCTTGGGATGGCCCAGGCTGACCTTGTCACCTAGTCACCTGTCACCTTGTCACCCTGGCACTTGTCACCTTGTCCCTGTCCCTGGCACCTGGCGTTGTCACCTGGCACTGTCACCTCTGGGTGTCCTCATTGGATAATCCCATCCCATCACCATGGCCACCGTTGTCCCTTCCGTGTCCCTTCCATGTCCTGTCACCTCTGTGTCCTCTCAAGGCTTGGGATGGCCCAGGCTGACCTTGTCCCCTCCCTGGAGTGTCCTTGTCACCTCCATGTCCTCTCAAGTCCCAATGTCCCCTGTCCCCTCAGACCAAGCTGAACGAGGACTTCACGGTCAAGGCCGAGGGCGTGGGCAAGGGGACAATGACAGTGGTGACCGTGTACCACGCCAAGGTCCCCGAGAAGGATGACAAATGTGACAACTTCGACCTGAGCGTGGACGTGGAGGAGGTCAACACGGGTGAGTCCCCAGCTGTCCCCTCCCTGTCCTCGCTGTGTCACCACGAGCCACTCCCCGTGTCCCCCCGTGTGCGCCCTGTGTCACCTTTGATGTCACCTCGTTGTCCCCATCAGGCAAGGAAGAGGAGGATGTCATCAGGTCTGTGAAGATCACCATCTGCACCAGGTGGGGACATTGGGGACGCTGGGGACACTGGGGACATTGGGGACATTGGGGACATTGGGGACATTGGGGACATTGGGGACACTGGGGACAGCAGGGACATTGGGGACACTGGGGACACTGGGGACATTAGGGACACTGGGGACATTGGGGACAGCAGGGACAGGGAGGGGATGTTGGGGACAGGGACATCAGGGAGTGGGTGGGGACATTGGGATCAGTGGGGACATTTGGGACAGGGAGGGGAAGGGGAGGAAGGGACATTGGGGACAAGGAGGAAAACGGGGACATTGGGGACAGCAGGGACAGCAGGGAAAGGATGGGGACATTGGGGACAGCAAGGACAGAGTGAGGACACTGGGGACAGGGAGGGTATGTTGGGGACAGGGACATCAGGGAAAGGACAGGGACATTGGGGACACTGGGGACAGCAGGGACATTGGGGACACTGGGGACACTGGGAACATTGGGGACATTGGGGACAACATAGATAGGGAGGGGGTGATGGGGACAGGGACACTGGGGAAAGGATGGGGACAGCAGGGACAGGGGAAGGGGAGGGAGGGACATTGGGGACAGCAGGGAAAGGAGGAGGACGTTGGGGACATTGGGGACATTGGGGACATTGGGGACGGCAGGGAAAGGAGGAGGACGTTGGGGACGTTGGGGACATTGGGGACATTGGGGACAGCAGGGAAAGGAGGAGGACTTTGGGGACATTGGGGACAGCAGGGACAGGGCAGGGAATGGGATGGAGGGACACTGGGGACATTGGGGACGGCAGGGACAAGGACGGTGACACTGGGGACAAAAAGCACTCGCCTTGTCCCGTGGGGATGGTGACATCGGGGACGGGGACGCTGGGGACGCTGCGGGGGTTGGGGACAGGCGGGGGTGGCCTCAGCTGTGTCCCCACAGGTACCTGGACACCGTGGATGCCACCATGTCCATCCTGGATGTCACCATGCTCACCGGATTCTCACCGGACGTGCAGGACCTGAGGAGGGTCAGTGTGGGGACATGGGGACAGCAGGGGGCATGGGGACACACGGGGGGACTTGGGGACAGCAGGGGACATGGGGACACCGGGGGACATGGGGACATGGGGACACACAGGGGGGACTTGGGGACACACAGGGGGCATGGGGACATGGTGACACCAAGGGGATATGGGGACACTGGGGGACATGGGGACACCAGGGTGGGGGACATGGGGACAATGAGAGGGGGGAACATGGGGACAAAGACAGGGGACCCCACGTCTTTGTGCCATCGTGTCACCATCAATGATGATGTCACCATCCACGTCCCCACAATGGCACATGTGTCCCCACATTGCCGTTACCCCCGCGTGTCCCTGTGTATCTGGTGTCACCATGTCCCCACATGTCCCCATGTCCTGATGCCATTCCATGTCACCATGTGTCCTGCGTTCCCTTTGTCACTGTGTCCCACCGCCCGGTGTCACCGTGTCCCTGCGTGTCCCCATCTCCTGATGCCATTCTGTGTCCCTGCATGTCCCTGAATGTCCCCACGTGTCCTGTGTCCCAGTGTCACAATGTCCCTGATGTCCCACATTCCCGGTGTCCCCACATGTCCCCCATGCCCGGTGTCACACTATCCCTGCTGTCCCCAGTATCACGCTGTCCCCGCTGTCCCCGGTGTCACGCTGTCCCCACATGTCCCCCACACCCGGTGTCACACTGTCCCTGCTGTCCCCAGTATCACGCTGTCCCTGCCGTCCCCGGTGTCACACTGTCTCCGGTGTCACACTGTCCCCGCTGTCCCCGCTGTCCCCGCTGTCCCCGCTGTCACGCTGTCCCCGTGCCCCGTGTCACGCTGTCCCCGCTGTCCCTGGTGTCACGCTGTCCCCACTGTCCCCATGCCCGGTGTCACGCTGTCCCCGCTGTCCCCACTGTCCCCGTGCCCCGTGTCACAGTGTCCCCGCTGTCCCCATGCCCAGTGTCACGCTGTCCCCGCTGTCCCCGCTGTCCCCGTGCCCCGCGTCACACTGTCCCCGCTGTCCCTGGTGTCACACTGTCCCCGCTGTCCCCATGCCCAGTGTCACGCTGTCCCCGCTGTCCCCACTGTCCCCGTGCCCCATGTCACACTGTCCCCGCTGTCCCCATGCCCGGTGTCACGCTGTCCCCGCTGTCCCCGTGCCCCGTGTCACATTGTCCCCGCTGGCCCCATGCCCGGTGTCACGCTGTCCCCACTGTCCCCATGACCCGTGTCACACTGTCCCCGCTGTCGCTGGTGTCACACTGTCCCCGCTGTCCCCATGCCCCATGTCACGCTGTCCCCGCTGTCCCCGTGCCTGCGTCACGCTGTCCCCACTGTCCCCGGTGTCATGCTGTCCCCGCTGTCCCCTTGCCTGTTGTGACACTCTGTCCCTGCTGTCCCCATGCCCCGTGTCACACTGTCCCCGCTGTCCCCATGCTCGGTGTCACGCTGTCCCCGGCATCACGCTGTCCCCACTGTCCCCATGCCCCGTGTCACACTGTCCCCGCTGTCCCCATGCCCGGTGTCACGCTGTCCCCGCTGTCCCCAGCTGTCCGAGGGCGTGGACAGGTACATCTCCAAGTTCGAGCTGGACCAGGACAAAGAGCGGAGCAACGTCGTCATTTACCTGGACAAGGTGGGGACACTGGGGACACGGGGGTGGGGACAGGACTGGGATGGTGACAGGGACAAGATGGGACAATGACAAGGTGGGACAGGGATAGGACAGGATGGGGACGGCGTGGGGACATGATGGGACAGGGACAAGGTAGGACAGGGGTGGGGACATGATGGGACAGGGACAGGACAGGGACAGGATGGGACAGGGACAGGACTGGGACAGGATGTCACAGGGACCAAGATGATTTGGGGACATGAGCAGGGACAGGAGGGGGACAGGCGTGATGATGAAGGTGAGGACACGGGGGACACTGGGGACAGGGGAGACGCTGGGGACAGGAGGGACACGGGGACAAGATGGGACAGCAATGTTCCCTGTCCCCCTGTCCCTGTCCCCCTGTCCCTGCCCCTGCCCCTGTCCCCATTCCTGTCCCTGTTCCCTCTGTCCCCGTCCCTGTCCCTGTCACTGTCCCTGTCCCTGTCATTCAATCCCTGTCCCCCTGTCCCTGTCCCCTCCCTGTCCCTTCCCTGTCCAGGTTCCCTCTGTCCCTGTCCCTGCCCCTGTCCCCTGTCCCTGTTCCCTGTCCCCTCCCTGTCCCTTCCCTGTCCCTGTTCCCTCTGTCCCTGTCCCTGCCTCTGTCCCCTGTCCCTGTCCCTAGTGCCACCTGGGTCACCCAGGTCACCTCTATCACCTCTGTCACCTCTGTCACATGTTGCCTGGGTCACATGTCGCCTGGGTCACCTCTGCCACCTGTGTCCCCCTGGTAGATGTCCCCACTGTCCCCATGTCTCCATGCTCCCTGGGTGATGTCTCCCAATGTCCCCACATCTCCCGCTGTCCCCTGATGTCCCCGTGTCTTCCGCTGTCCCCCGCTGTCCCCGTGTCTTCCGCTGTCCCCCACTGTCCGCGTGTCCCCCGCTGTCCCCCGGTGTCCCCTGATGTCCCCGTGTCCCCGCAGACGATCGCTGCACGCGGTTCTACCACCCGGACAAGGAGGGAGGGAAGCTGAACAAGATCTGCCAGGGGGACGTTTGTCGCTGCGCCGAAGGTGACACGGGGACACGGGGACATGGGGACATGGGACACGGGGACACGGGAACGGGCAGGCTGCCCTGGCAGGGTGGGACACGCATGGCCATGGTGGGACATGTCACGGTCATGGTGGGACATGTCATGGTCATGATGGGACACGTTGATGTGATGGGACACGTCATGGTCATGGTGGGAGCCATCGCTGATGAGATGTCACATGTCACCATGATGGGGACAGGTCATGGCCATGGTGGGGCACGTCAATGATGAGATGTCACATGCCACCATGATGGGGACATGTCATGGCCATGGTGGGGACATGTCCTGGCCATGGTGGGGCATGTCAATGATGAGATGTCACATGCCACCATGATGGGGACATGTCCTGGCCATGGTGGGACACATTATGGCCATGATGGGACACATCACTGATGAGATGTCACATGTCACCATGATGGGGACATGTCCTGGCCATGGTGGGACACACTGATGTGATGGGACACTTCATGGCCATGGTGGGACACATCACTGATGAGATATCGCATGTCACCATGGTGGGGACATGTCATGGTCGTGGTGGGACGCATTGATGTGATGGGACACATTATGGCCATGATGGGACACGTCATGGCCATGATGGGGACATGTCCCTGCAGTGGTGGGACAAAGCATGACCCTGGTGGGGACACGTCATTGATGAGATGTCACATGTCACCACGATGGGGACATGTCATGGCCATGGTGGGACATGTCACAGTCATGGTGGGACACATCAATGATGAGATGTCACATGCCACCATGATGGGGACACGTCATGGCCATGGTGGGACACATTGATGTGATGGGACATGTCATGGTCATGGTGGGACATGTCAATGAGATGTCAAGTGTCACTATGATGGGGACGCATCTAGGTCATGGTGGGGACACGTCATGGCCATGGCGGGACACGTCAATGATGAGATGTCGCATGTCACCATGATGGGGACATGTCATGGTCATGGTGGGACACACTGATGTGATGGGACACATCATGGCCATGGTGGGACACATCACTGATGAGATATCGCATGTCACCATGGGGGGGACATGTCATGGTCGTGGTGGGACGCATTGATGTGAGGGGACACATTATGGCCATGGTGGGACACGTCCTGGCCATGATGGGGACATGTCCCTGCAGTGGTGGGACAAAGCATGACCCTGGTGGGGACACGTCATTGATGAGATGTCACATGTCACCACGATGGGGACACATCATGGCCATGGTGGGGACTCATCATTGATGAGATGTCACATGTCACCACGATGGGGACATGTCATGGCCATGGTGGGGACAAGTCATAGTCATGGCGGGGATGTGTCACCCTCATGATGGGACATGTCATGGCCAGGAGGGGACACCTTGCTGTGATGGGACACGTCA